TTGCCCGAACATCAGGAGTTATCAAGCGAGCAATGGCTTGCCATTGTTAATAAGTTTTGTAGTGTCAGTTCTAACTCCTCCCACAATGATAGTCCTCTATCACCATTGCCTCAAGGTAATATTCAGCTTAGGCTAGCCAAGGCATATTTAGTATTAGTGCTTTTAGTATTCCTCTTACTTGTACTCGGCCTGTTATTCAGCCAAAAACAAATGTATGGATATCTTTAGCCAATTTAACAGGACAAGATACTTTATGCTTGGCTATGGCCTCTCTTGAAACCCATTTTCTACTTGTCTCTTTGGTTTACCTTTACTACATTTATACATGGCCACATCCCCTTTTGGCTCATGTTCTTCATTTTGAGAATCATGCCAATGCTTGGGACCAATGGTTCCCATATCTCCCTCATGCAGCCCTTGAGCCACAGGAATTAGAACTTCTAGGATCTGTAAAAATGGTAATCTGTGGCCAACCAATCTGAAGCATGGGATGTTTCTTCAAGCCAATCCATATTAAAAAAAAGTGCCTGGTGTAATTACACTTCTACCAACACCTCCTGCTTTACTAATGCTCATCGTTACCAGCAGGAGTGTTTATTAGAGGAGGTAGAGCTTGGGCTGCTATTCCATCATGTATTAAGGCAGGCCCCTGCAGTTTAGGTGACTCTTGCTGTTAACACCCAACGCATCCATGATTTTACAACATAACTTTCCACAGTGAGGGAAGCACAGCATTCAGTGTTTACACCTGATTATGACAATAACCTCAACTTTTGGTCACTACAACAGCATTGGGCTTCCTTCTATTTTGCTCCAGGAGTAGTGTCTGGAAAGGCACAATCCTTGGAAAGGGATTGTTTAACAAACTAGGCTGTTAGTTAGACAAACTAATGCTACTTTCCTTGCTTTAGCAAGATTGTTGACCAATGTTGGTTCAATTAGACATGCTACATTGCAGAATTGAGCCACTATTGATTTTTTTCTTTTAGTACATGGACATTGATGTGAAGATTTTGATGGAATGTAATATGTTTCTGTATGAACCTTTCTGATCATTCACACTCTATTCATGTAAGTATTAAAGCTTTACAAGACAATGTAGCCAAATTAAAAATAGTAGATGGAGCTGACTGGTTTAACAACCTTTTTGAAGACTGGGTGATCACTGGATGGGTCAAAAATTTTATTAAGATGGGAATGTTTGTATTAGGGATGCTATTAATTATAGTGGTATACCTGCCTTGCTTGATTCAATGTATTCAGAGATTGATTAATAAATCAGTAAAATAAATCATGATTGTAGAACAGAAAGGGGGACATGTAGAAGATCAGACAGCTACAGAAGCTGAGTTGGGTAGCACCACAGACCTGCTGGCCCTGGTTCAGTGGAAGCTGTGGAGAGGGAAACTCAAGGCATGAATAAGAAGTGAAGACATCATGTTTGACAGCTCTGGTGCAGGAGGATGTTAGCAAGGACAGTGCTGGCACAAGAGGATGATAACAAGGACTTCATAACTGAAAAGGTTGTGTTGCTAAGGGAATAGAGGCAAGGGGATCTGAGTGGAAAATTTTGTGTGGAAGTTAGAGAACTATAAAATCTGGTCATTAGTACAATAACCGGCTTTGCTTGCATACAGAATGGTCTGTCTCTCTCAGTTGCTGCATCTCCTGCCTCAGGGGTTGGCTGTTGGCTGCCCTGTGTGTTCTGACAGGGGAAAATCCTGACATAAGACACGGATTCCATGGTTCCAGGACAATACTCCTGCTTCCTTCTCCAGCTCTGAGAGTAAATAGCTTTGCTAAGGAAACCTTGCTCACTCCTTCCAGCCCTGGCTCCCTAGGTCACACTCTTGTTTTCTGCTTTCTGAGGATTAAACTCGTAATGACTTCTTAGCCTTTTAAAGTTTTTTCCTTCTGGCGACTTCACCAAGCTGGGGTGAGGTCATGAGGGTTAAATCACTGGAATGCCCCAGGCTTTGCAAAAATATTTCTACCACTTCAAGGTTGATTATTTCCCAAAAGTAGCTTCTAACAGAGGTCTGTAGAAGAGATTCAGTGACTTGGTAAACAGCCTCTGCTGTTTCTGCTCTGTGAATGTTTTAAAAAGCTTAAGTGCTTATATAATTTAGCCAAAGTAAGGTGATTTAGGATATTCAAACAAAAATAATGATTGCAAATTTCAGAAGCTACTTTCAGAGTTCAGTTAGTAACTTTGTGTGTTAAATTTCTGCACAATTGAAATGAAGCAGCTGCTGTCTGCAAAGAAGTGAACATTTGGGCAATTGATCTACTTTTGGGAAA